TCAGCTTTCTACTTATAGCTAGCCAATTTTCCCAGCACCATTTATTAAATAGGGAATCCTTTCCCCATTTCTTGTTTCTCTCAGGTTTGTCAAAGATCGGATGGCTGTAGATGTGTGGTATTATTTCTGAGGACTCTGTTCTGTTCCATTGGTCTATATCTCTGTTTTGGTACCAGTACCATGCTGTTTTGGTTACTGTAGCCTTGTAGTATAGTTTGAAGTCAGGTAGCGTGATGCCTCCAGCTTTGTTCTTTTGACTTAGGATTGTCTTGGAGATGCGGGCTCCTTTTTGGTTCCATATGAACTTACAAGCAGTTTTTTTCCAATTCTGTGAAGAAACTCATTGGTAGCTTGATGGGGATGGCATTGAATCTATAAATTACCTTGGGCAGTATGGCCATTTTCACGATATTGATTCTTCGTATCCATGAGCATGGTATGTTCTTCCATATGTTTGTGTCCTCTTTTATTTCACTGAGCAGTGGTTTGTAGTTCTCCTTGAAGAGGTCCTTCACATCCCTTGTAAGTTGGATTCCTAGGTATTTTATTCTCTTTGAAGCAACAGTGAATGGGAGTTCATTCATGATTTGGCTGTCAGTTTGTCTGTTACTGGTGTATAAGAATGCTTGTGTTTTTGCACATTGATTTTGTATACTGAGACTTTGCTGAAGTTGCTTATCAGCTTAAGGAGATTTTGGGCTGAGACAATGGGGTTTTCTAAATATACAATCATGTCATCTGCAAAAGGGACAATTTGATTTCTTCTTTTCCTAACTGAATACCCTTGATTTCTTTCTCTTGCCTGATTGCCTTAGCCAGAACTTCCAACACTATGTTGAATAGGAGTGGTGAGAGAGGGCATCCCTGTCTTGTGCCAGTTTTCAAAGGGAATTTTTCCAGTTTTTGCCCATTCAGTATGATATTGGCTGTGGGTTTGTCATAAATAGCTCTTATTATTTTGAGGTACGTTCCATCAATACCGAATTTATTGAGCGTTTTTAGCATGAAGGGCTGTTGAATTTTGTCAAAAGCCTTTTCTGCATCTATTGAGATAATCATGTGGTTCTTGTCTTTGGTTCTGTTTATATGCTGGATTATGTTTATTGATTTGCGAATGTTCAACCAGCCTTGCATCCCAGGGATGAAGCCCACTTGATCATGGTGGATAAGCTTTTTGATGTGTTGCTGAATCCGGTTTGCCAGTATTTTATTGAGGATTTTTGCATTGATGTTCATCAGGGGTGTTGGTCTAAAATTCTCTTTTTTTGTTGTGTTTCTGCCAGGCTTTGGTATCAGGATGATGTTGGCCTCATCAAATGAGTTAGGGAGGATTCCCTCTTTTTCTATTGATTGGAATAGTTTCAGAAGGAATGGTACCAGCTCCTCCTTGTACCTCTGGTAGAATTCAGCTGTGAATCCATCTGGTCCTGGACTTTTTTTGGTTGGTAGGCTATTAATTATTGCCTCAATTTCAGAGCCTGCTATTGGTCTATTCAGGGATTCAACTTCTTCCTGGTTTAGTCTTGGAAGAGTGTAAGTGTCCAGGAAATTATCCATTTCTTCTAGACTTTCTAGTTTATTTGTGTAGAGGTGTTTATAGTATTCTCTGATGGTAGTTTGTATTTCTGTGCAGTCGGTGGTGATATCCCCTTTATCATTTTTTATTGCGTCTATTTGATTCTTCTCTCTTTTCTCCTTTATTAGTCTTGCTAGTGGTCCGTCAATTTTGTTGATCTTTTTAAAAAATCAACTCCTGGATTCATTGATTTTTTGGAGGGTTTTTTGTGTCTCTATCTCTTTCAGTTCTGCTCTGATCTTAGTTATTTCTTGCCTTCTGCTAGCTTTGAATGTGTTTGCTCTTGCTTCTCTAGTTCTTTTATTGCGATGTTAGAGTGTCAATTTTAGATCTTTCTGCTTTCTCTTGTGGGCATTTATGCTATAAATTTCCCTCTACACACTGCTTTAAATGTGTCCCAGAGATTCTGGTATGTTGTATCTTTGTTCTCATTGGTTTCAAAGAACAGCTTTATTTCTGCCTTCATTTCATTATGTACCCAGTAGTCATTCAGGAGCAGGTTGTTCAGTTTCCATGTAGTTCAGTGGTTTTGATTGGGTTTCTTAGTCCTGAGTTCTAGTTTGATTGCACTGTGGTCTGAGAGACAGTTTGTTATAATTTCTGTTCTTGTACATTTGCTGAGGAGTGCTTTACTTCCAATTATGTGGTCAATTTTGGAATAAGTGCGATGTGGTGCTGAGAAGAATGTATATTCTGTTGATTTGGGGTGGAGAGTTCTATAGATGTCTATTAGGTCTGCTTGCTGCAGAGATGAGTTCAATTCCTGGATATCCTTGTTAACTTTCTGTCTCGTTGATCTGTCTAATGTTGACAGTGGAGTGTTGAAGTCTCCCATTATTATTGTATGGGAGTCTAAGTCTCTTTGTAAGTCTTTAAGGACTTGCTTTATGAATCTGGGTGCTCCTGTATTGGGTGCATATATATTTAGGATAGTTAGCTCTTCCTGTTGAATTGATCCTTTTACCATTATGTAATGGCCTTCTTTGTCTCTTTTGATCTTTGATGGTTTAAAGTCTGTTTTATCAGAGACTAGTATTGCAACCCCTGCTTTTTTTTTGTTCTCCATTTGTTTGGTAGATCTTCCTCTATCCCTTTATTTTGAGCCTATGTATGTCTCTGCATGTGAGATGGGTCTCCTGAATACAGCAGACTGATGGGTCTTGACTCTTTATCCAGTTTGCCAGTCTGTGTCTTTTAATTGGACCATTTAGTCCATTTACATTTAAGGTTAATATTGTTATGTGTGAACTTCATCCTGCCATTATGATATTAACTGCTTATTTTGCTCGTTAGTTGATGCAGTTTCTTCCTAGTCTCGATGGTCTTTACATTTTGGCATATTTTTGCAATGGCTGGTACCGGTTGTTCCTTTCCATGTTTAGTGCTTCCTTCAGGGTCTCTTGTAAGGCAGGCCTAGTGGTGACAAAATCTCTAAGCATTTGCTTATCTGTAAAGGATTTTATTTCTCCTTCACTTATGAAACTTAGTTTGGCTGGATATGAAATTCTGGGTTTAAAATTCTTTTCTTTAAGAATGTTGAATAGTGGCCCCCACTCTCTTCTGGCTTGTAGAGTTTCTGCTGAGCGATCTGCTGTTAGTCTGATGGGCTTCCCTTTGTGGGTAACCCGACCTTTCTCTCTGGCTGCCCTTAAGATTTTTTCCTTCATTTCAACTTTGGTGAATCTGGCAATTATGTGTCTTGGAGTTGCTCTTCTCGAGGAGTATCTTTGTGGCGTTCTCTGTATTTCCTGGATTTGAATGTTGGCCTGCCCTACTAGGTTGGGGAAGTTCTCCTGGATGATATCCTGAAGAGTGTTTTCCAACTTGGTTCCATCTTCCCCCTCACTTTCAGGCACCCCAATCAGACGTAGATTTGGTCTTTTTACATAATCCCATACTTCTTGCAGGCTTTGTTCATTTCTTTTTCTTCTTTTTTCATTTGGTTTCTCTTCTCGCTTCATTTTGTTCATTTGATCCTCAATCGCAGATACTCTTTCTTCCAGTTGATCGAGTCGGTTACTGAAGCTTGTGCATTTGTTACGTATTTCTCGTGTCATGGTTTTCATCTCTTTTATTTCGTTTATGACCTTCTCTGCATTAATTACTCTAGCTATCAATTCTTCCACTTTTTTTTTTCAAGATTTTTAGTTTATTTGCGCTGGGTACATAATTCCTCCTTTAGCTCTGAGAAGTTGGATGGACTGAAGCCTTCTTCTCTCATCTCGTCAAAGTCATTCTCCATCAATCTTTGATCCGTTGCTGGCGATGAGCTGCGCTCCTTTGCCGGGGGAGATGCGATCTTATTTTTTGAATTTCCAGCTTCTGCCCTGCTTTTTCCCCATCTTTGTGGTTTTATCTGCCTCTGGTCTTTGATGATGATGGTGACGTAGTGATGGGGTTTTGGTGTAGGTGTCCTTCCTGTTTGATAGTTTTCCTTCTAACAGTCAGGACCCTCAGCTGTAGGTCTGTTGGAGATTGCTTGAGGTCCACTCCTGACCCTGTTTGCCTGGGTGTCAGCAACAGAGGCTACAGAAGATAGAATATTGCTGAACAGCGAGTGTACTTGTCTGATTCTTGCTTTGGAAGCTTCCTCTCAGGGGTGTACTCCACCCTGTGAGGTGTGGGGTGTCAGACTGCCCCTAGTGGGGGATGTCTCCCAGTTAGGCTACTCAGGGGTCAGGGACCCACTTGAGCAGACAGTCTGTCCCTTCTCAGATCTCAACCTCCGTGTTGAGAGATCCACTGCTCTCTTCAAAGCTGTCAGACAGAGTCGTTTGCATCTGCAGAGGTTTCTGCTGCTTTTGTTGTTGTTTAGCTGTGCCCTGTCCCCAGAGGTGGAGTCTACAGAGACAGGCAGGTTTCTTTGAGCTGCTGTGAGCTCCACCCAGTTCGAGCTTCCCAGCGACTTTGTTTACCTACTTAAGCCTCAGCAATGGCGGGCGCCCCTCCCCCAGACTGGCTGCTGCCTTGCGGTAAGATTGCAGACTGCTGTGCTAGCAATGAGGGAGGCTCCGTGGGCGTGGAACCCTCCCGGCCAGGTGTGGGATATAATCTCCTGGTGTGCCTGTTTGCGTAAAGCGCAGTATTGGGGTGGGAGTTACCCGATTTTCCAGGTGTTGTGTGTCTCAGTTCCCCTGGCTAGGAAAAGGGATTCCCTTCCCCCTTGTGCTTCCCAGGTGAGGCGATGCCTTGCCCTGCTTCAGCTCTCACTGGTTGGGCTGCAGCAGCTGACCAGTGCCGATTGTCCGGCACTCCCTAGTGAGATGAACCCAGTACCTCAGTTGAAAATGCAGAAATCACCGGTCTTCTGTGTCGCTCGCGCTGGGAGTTGGAGACTGGAGCTGTTCCTATTCAGCCATCTTGCTCCGCCCCCATCCACCCGAGACTCAGTAATTTACAAAGAAAAGAAGTTTAATTGACTCACAGTTTGGCATTGCTGGGAGGTCCTCTGGGAACTTACACTCACGGTGGAAAGTGAAGCAAACATGTCCTTCTTCACATGGTGGCAGGAAAGAGATGAATGAGAACCAAGCAATGAGAGAAGCCCCTTTTAAAAGCATCACATCTTGTGAGAACTCACTCACTATCATGAGAACAGCAGCATGGGGAGTAACCGCCCCCATGATTCAATTACCTCCCACCAGGTCCCTCCCACAACACATGGGGATTATAGGAACCATAATTCAAAATGACATTTAGCTGGGGACACAGCCAAACCATATGACAGAGATATGTTCTTCCTATGGTAGTAATAGAGAGAGCAGAGAGCAAGACAAATGGCACACATGCTCTTGAAGCTTCTGCTAACATTGTATCTTCTAACATCCTACTGGCTAAAGCAAACCACGTGGATAATCCCAAAGTCAGAAGTAAGCAAATGTACTTTACCTTTAGTGGGAGATATTACCTGACGATGTAACAAAAGGTGCAGAAATAGGGAGGGACAAGTAATCAGGGCCAGTGTTTTGTCATAGCTCTTCAACATTTGCTATTTTCACATTTCTTAAATGATGTGTAATGATGTTTTATTGTGTCTGCAATATTACCATATTTACCTGATTGCCAAGGAGGCTGGGCATATTTTTATGTCTTCATTCATTATTTGAAATTTCCCCTTATGTGAAGTGCCCAGGTAAGTTTTCAGCCACTTTTTTTGGTTTTGTTTTCTAAAGGATTATTTGTCTATTTCTCTTGCTTGCAAGTCATTTTGTATATTTTATTATGTGTCTTTTGTTTCCCATGTATATTTTTACCAAGTAGCATAACTTTTTACATTCTTTATAATACTTATGAAAGGACTCCTAATCTTTAAAGTAATCAAATATATTTGTTAATATATGGTTAATACTTTTTGGTCTTAGTTAAGAAGTTCTTTTTCACAGTGAAGTTATGGGCTGGGCATGATGATTTACACCTATAATCCCAACACTTCAGGAGGTCAAGGCAGGAGGATCACTAAACCCAAGAGTTTGAGATCAGCCTGTGCAACAGAGCAAGACCCGGTAGAGGGTCTTGTAGAGACAAAAAATTAAAAAGCTAGCCAGGCATGCTGGCACATGCCTGTAGTCCCACCTACTCAGGAGGCTGAAGTGGGAGGATTGCTTGAGCCCAAGAGATAGAGGCTACGATAAGCCTTGTTCATGTCACTGTACTCCAGCTTGGGCAAGAGCCTCAAATATATATATATATACATGAAATAAAAGAAAAAGAAAAAAATTAGTCACAAGGTAAGGTTATGAAAATATTCTCCTATTAAATATTAACATCTAAAAAGTTTATAGCTCTATCTCAGAAATTTCAGCACTCAATGTATGACGTGTCTTGGTTATTCTTGTCCTGTAATGTCAAGTCTTTCCATTTTATCTTTTTAAAGTGTGTTTTGGTTATTCTTGCCCCCTTGTACTCCAAATAAGTGTAAAATTAGCATACTAATTTTCATTAAATAATAGTTTAACTTTATATTGCATTGAAATTACACATGCATTAGGACAGAATTTTTTTCCAATAATGAGTTTAACATTTCTTTAATTCATACAAAAATTATTTTGGTTTTGAATTTCTCTAAAATGTTTTATAATTTTCTTAATAAAAGTCTTATATTTTTAAAAAATATAATATAAGTTTATTCATCACTACTTGACATTTTTGCAGTGTTTATAATGGTGTCATAAAAATTTTATTTTCTAAACTTTTAATTGGTAGAAGGTAGCATTCATTTGTAAGTTTCTTTGTTTTTTTCAGCAATGTATTCATGAATTTTACTACATTTATCTGTTAATTGCTTTGGAACTTTTATGTGCAAAGCTGTATCATTTGTGAACATTGTTGCATTTCTTTTTCTCAAATTTTTATAACATTTTTCTTAATTACTTGCCTTATCACGTAATTTTTGATAAATGTATACATTTTAGGTTTTCTGTTTATTGAGTCAGTCTGCTTTTGTAATTTGTGTATTTCGTTTAAATATTCAAAGTTTTTATCTTTTTACAATTTTTTAGTTTTGAAACATTTTTAATGTTTGAGATTTCTGAGTTTTTTTTTCTTTTTCATTTTTTTAACTACATTTTGTCCACTTCTTTTTTCCATTATTTGCTTTGCATTCTTTATTTTTTTTTCTTCTACTATCTTTTTGGTAATAGTCTTCTTCACTTTCTTGAATGAATGTTTAGTACATTGATTTTATAGTCTTTTAGTCTTCTTCACCTTCCTGAATGAACGTTTAGCACATTGATTTTATAGTTTTCTAATGTAAGCTTAAGGATTCAATTTTCCTTCACTTCTATCTTATTTCTAGCCCTTAACATTCAAATGTGTGCTAAATCAATTAATAATCATGTATTATTATCATTTGCTAAGTTTTATTGTGATTTTTGTCCCCAAACTAATGTATTAGAAGTGTTAATATTCAGTTTCAGAAATGCAGATTTTCTCATTAGCTTTTTGTTACTGATTTCTGCTGTACTGTGGTTATAGAACATGCTCTGTCTTTGATTTTTTTTGTGTGACTTACTATATATTCCAGTATATGTAAGGTGACAAAATTATTTATTATTTTAAACTGTCACACTTTTGAGTTTTATAAAACACCTGCTCACCAGATGACTCCTAAGGACAATAGGTACAAACAAGGACTTTCCTGAGCAAACCGGTCTGTATAGTTACCCAAACTATGTGACACATCTTTATAACTTCCATAGGTAGTTGAAAATTATGTCTGTTCTACAGTTGTCGAGTAAAGTGTTTTATATATAAACTATAAATTGTATAATAAAAAAGAAGAGAGTAACTATGTAAAAAAAACACATCTATACCCTGTTTAGTTTTTCCCATGTTTAATTTGTCAAATATAGATAATAAAGTAATTTGAAGAAGGAAATAAGAGAATAGATCCATTATCAAATATAAAATAACCCATAAACACATGTACACACAAACACCTTTTTTCTCAAATTTCACAGCTAGAATGTTCAGTAAAATTTTTAGAAAATGATTTTGTTTGCCTTCTGACTAAAGTTAATAAAGTTTTTTTTATTATAAGCATAACAAATCAGGATATCCTAAAACTATAAATTTAATGACTAGATAGTTTCATTTTACCTCTCTAGCTAATAGGGATCGTATGGCTAATTTGCTTTCAACGTTTTCCATCCTCCAGTCCCCAGGAAGCTGAGCTCTGTGGGCCAATTCAGTCAACCTCTTTTGTCCTCTGGCATTTGGTTGGCTTCAGCTAATAGGAGACAATTATGGGAGAGCATAGGTGGGAAGACAGCAAGATTCAGACATTTATTGCCCTAACCTGCTTTGCTAGACCTTAAAAAGTTACCCATTAACTCTCTTATACAGCTGTAAGTCTTTGTTTATCTTCCCCTCAACTTTCCTTCAGGCCTAGGAGTAGAAATGGCTTCCACTCTCACTGAGTCCTCAAGGCGTTCTATTATCTTACCTACACTGACAACTACAGTATTGTTGCTACAGTTTTTTTTTTTTTTAATGAAAGCTAAATCAATTAACAATTATTCATAAGCACTTATTTATGTAACACTTAATACACAGTGAGATCCAATCTACAGTGAAGCCAGATGGGTAGCAACTAATTACATACCTAGCCAGATTTTAGTGAACATTGTCCTGTACACTATTTAAATTAATGCAGCCTTTATAATTAGATCTGCAATTTGATCTCTAAAGAAGACATAGATGGGAACTTTCCAACATTCATATTTATTTCATGAAAATAACTTGTATATATGTCCAAGAACATATAAAATCTAGTAAAAGCTATCATTAGGAACAATAATATATTATTTCTATGTAATAATGTCCAATATATATGAGTTAGAGTAACCCAACTTCAAAAGACTCTTTTAAGACTAGTCATCAAATTTTACCTGCAAAGAATAAAGTATTAAATTCCCAATAAGGCCTAGTGAGGTGGCTCACACTGTAATCCTAGCAGTTTGGGAGGCTGAGAAGGGCAGATGGCTTGAGTCCAAAAGTTCAAGACCAGCCCAGGCAATGGGGCAAAACCCTGTCTCTACCAAAAAAATACAAAAATTAACTGGGCATGGTGGCATGCCTGTGATCGCAGCTACTCAGAAGACTGAGGAGGAAGGGTTGCTTATGCCTCAGAGTTGGAGACTGTAGTGAACTGAGATTGCACTACTGCACTCCAGCCTGGGCGAGAGAGTGAGACCCTGTCTCAAAAAAACAAAAATAAAAATCCCAATAAATACCATCAATTGCTTTCAAATGTATCTTTTTATCATGTTCATTTTTCTGTTTGCTTCGAAAGAAATGGTATATGGCATGCCTTTTAAATAATAATACTAATGCCTTAAAATAAAATTATTGTAGAAATTTCATATTATTTTCCTATATACTATAAATCCTTAATACTATAAATACCATAAATACTTCAATACAGTTTGTTATAGATAAACAACATTATGAGAAAAACAGTGAGTTACAGACCAAGTTTCTTTCTTTACTTGAAGGGAACTCTATAGTCATTCCAAGTGAGAAAGAGTTAACTACAGAAAAAAAGAGAAGAAAAGGAAAGCAAAAAAATGAACCTACATTCTGGAACTGTCATCCTTAGCATCCTTGACTGAAACAAAGTTACATTTGGAGAACCTTGGAATTTGAGCATTTTAGTTTTTAGGTAGAGGATTTCAAATATCTTTCCACCTTTGTTTGTACCAGGAACTATGAGTTTGGAGTAATTCTGAAATTATGAAGAAAACAATTTAGTACTAGCTATAGAGTGGACAGTTAGACTTTTTTCACAATGTGACTTTTGTAAACACTCATTTGTCTCTGGTGGTATAGACTCTTTTGGAAATCTTCTTACTAAAAGACTCGACTGCTTATATCTTGGCAAGTTGAAATACTAGGAAGGCAATCATTAATAAGTCACTACTTACTGAGAAGGCAGTTTAAAACAGAAACGTACAGGCAAGCTGCTATCAGTAGGGCAGAGGTTTCTAAGGTACCTAAGGATAGAAGAAGAGAAGAACAGTAGGTTTTTCACACTAATTTCATCCATAACCTTCCCACAAAAGTGACGATGGAATTATCATAAGGAGTGAATGAAGGTCTCCAACCAAGCTAGTGAAAATGCTTCATAATACATCAGTTATAAAACCTCCTTTCACTACGTATATACTGAGTGTCTCGTACCTAATAACACTTAACCTACTGGTATTGTAGAGTAGTAGAAAAAAGCAAGGATTTTGAAGTTAGATGAGTTGAAGTTAGCTGAATACATTGGGTGAACCATTTAACCTTTCTTACCTATGATGTTTTCATCTGTAAAATAAATATATTGGATAAGATTATCTAAAAAGTCTCATTGAGTTTCATAAAATCTGTGGTGCTACATATGTTAATAACCAAACTCCAGGTAGGGTATATATGATATAATGAAGGAAAGAATTGGATTTATTTAAAAGAAAAAGACCTGGTTTGGAGTTTTAAGCCTACTTAGATGTCTTCCCTACTGGCTTTGTGATCTTAGATTTGTAACTTAAGTCTTATGATAGTGCAATTTCTCTTCTCAAAATAAACATAATAATTATTTGGTGACAGTGTTTTCAGTAAGGAAAAATATAATAAAATGTAGAAATATGCTTTCTAAACACTATGCAAATATAACAAATTGATAATTATGTATTGGTCAAAGATGTTGAGTCTCAAATAAAACTGTGGGTGCCTAAATTTAGACCTTTTTTGAAGATACATATTTCTGGCTAACAGCAGGCATGACATTTCATTCTTTCTTTCCCTACTGAGGATATTTTCTTATGTTAAGATGCTGGTGTAACAAGATGACGAAGTCTCTGTTATCTTGAATCCCTGATTCAATAGTGAAGAAAAGTCCTCACTAACCAGAATTTGACAGGTAGATTTAGTGAAGAATAAATTCTGATAATTATGTCATGGAAATTAAGGAGTTAACTTAGCTTTGTAACATAACTAAGTTTGCCTAAGTGACAGAAGCATTATTCCTGGGTGGGGGGGGAATCTTTGTTGAGTATTACAGAGAGAAATTATTCTAAATGAACCTGACCATATATGGATATTAAGTATGTTTAGACTTTGAGGAACACAAAGACTGAGTAGTTAAAACAACAAGAAAATGCAATGGTGGTGGTTATAATGATACATTTTTAAGGTAGAGGGGCATATTTAGCATTGGTGCTCATCATAAACTGAACCAGGCCCATGTCAAAAACCAAGGAAGTTCAAACTAGGAAAACCATCTATTCAATGCCGGTTATGGTTTCAAGGTGTCCCTTCATTTCAAGAAGCTGATCCTCTTAGGAACAGAAAATGGCAAGAGCAGAGAAGGTGTTATGGGTCTACTCATTGACAGAGATTTAAGGCAGTTCTCTATATGAAGTGGAAGACCAGAATAATATATGGGTACATTTATATATGTATACATATTTACAAAGTCATCATATAATCACATGTGCATATGTTATGTGTACATGCTTATGTTAGTCTCTGTAACTAGAATATTCCATGAAGGCAGAAATTTTCTCTCTCTTGTCTGGCCCAAAGTAGAAACTCAAGCAGTATTTGCTTTATTTACTAAAAAGGTGAGTGAATGGTTGAATAAAAGCAGCAGACATGTGAATGGCTGTGTGACAAATATAAATGTTGGACACAGTGTATTTGGGGAAGAAAGTGCAGCTTGGTGTCATGTGGATACTAAATACTCAGGTTAGACACATTGAAAACTAGAGTTTGGGCAGCAAAATGTAGGCACTGGGCTTTTAATATCTTTTCCACTTTTGTCAGAATTGTCTCAGGAACTAGTAGGGTGAGTGAATTTTCTTCACACTCTCGAATTTCATAAACTTCTAATCCTTGACTGTGATATTGTCTTTCTCAGCTGTCTGCATTTGTTCTCTCTCCTAAACAGATACCTCTATGCCCCACTCAGTTTTAATTTCTTCCCCCACCTTTCCATATACCTTTGTCTGGCTCATTTCTATTTAACTTATAGCCCTCAGAAAATTTTATTATCTCACAAAACTGAGCAATTGAGTGTGTGTGTATGTGTGTGTGTATGTGTGTGTGTATGTGTATTTCACGGCAATTTTATTTTCTATTACAATAGTTCCCACTTATCTGTGGGGGAACAGTTCAAGACTCTCAGTGGATGCCTGAAACCGTGGATAGTACTAAACCCTATATGTGCTATGCTTTTTGTACGCATGTATTCCTATGATATAGTTTAATTTATAAATTAGACACAATAAGAAATTAATAGCAGTAACTAATAACAAGTCATAACAATTAAAATAATAAACTATAACAAAAATTATTTAGTATAATCTATTTCTGTCTGTCAAAATATTTTATTGTACTGTATTCACTTGTTATCAGGCCCTGATTGACCATGGGTAACTGAAACTGCAGATAAGTGGTGGCTGCTGTATTTAAAAGCAGCTTTTCTTTAATCATGACTCATCTGGAAGCTCCATAAAACCAATAATCACGATGATTACTCAATAATCATCAATAATGATATAAAGAATACGTAAGTTAGTCAATACAACTAAAATTTGCTAATACTTGAAACTGAAAAATGCAGGTACTGATAACTTTATTTTATTTAATAGAGTTATTTTACATACATTGCCTAAGATTTTTCATGGTGTAGAAAATGGGGGTTCTGTAATACCACAAACGTGAGAAAACATGCCTCTACTTTTGCCATACAAAGAAATATATACAGAAAATAGTAGTGTGGGTTAAATAGTTTCTTTAGAACTTAGATAAAGTCTGAGATTTTTAGAATCACACATATAGCCTTGGTGAAATTATGTAGATTAAAATTTGTCTCAAGTATTCACACAACTCTGTAGTTTGTAAGCCTAAGCAACAAGAAGCAAAGAGAAACAGTGAGATGAGGAGGTGAAAAGGAGTATCAAATCAACCCGCTCTAGTAAGAATAATGGTAGCCTATCTTGTGAAGCCTACATGCATAGGTTAAACTTTCCCAGACTGTGAAATAAAAGATGACAGAATTGCATTCTAACTTTAGGTAACAATTGTGCAATGATTCTGAATAAATATGCATATGTTTACAATATAAGGTAGTCACTAGAGTGTCTAATGAATCATCATTGATCCAATGAATATGAACAACTACACAAAGGAGAAAGTAAAATCTGAAGTGGAAACTATCCAAATGCAGTTTTGCAATGTACTTCTACTTCTGTCTTTCTGCAGAATTCAGATAACAATGACTTTTTAAAATTCCACTAATGAAATGTTGTAGACAACAGAAAAGGGCAGACTGGCTGAATGTACTATATCTGTGAAAGAGTAGGTGTATTACACATGGACAGACATAATCAATCTTAAATCATCGTCTGTAAGACAATCCACTGTTTTTATCTATCCAGTCCCAGTCAGATAATCTTAAATGTCATTAAGAAGTTAGTAGACATACGATGCTACTGCACTATTTGGGTTTGAATCCTGGCTTAGACAAGTTAAATAGTTTATGGCTCAATTTTCTCATTGGTAAAGTTGGGGAAAACACTAGTAATTATTTCCTAAATTTCTTATAGAGGTTAAATAAGTTAGTGTGTGTACATATTAGATAACTCTGTGTGTGTGTGTGTACAAATTATCAGATATTACTACAATTGTTAACACAATTCTATCATGGAAATCCATAAGAGTTATCGAAGGAGGTGTTTTTGATCCATTGCTATTGAACAAGCTTATCTGAATTGACTTTTAGGAGCTTTACTCCCTTCTTTATTATGCTCTGTAAACTGTTATCCTGAAGATAGTAATAGCTAACTCTTATTGTGTAATCACCATATGTCAGACACATTGTGTATTAAAGATTTTAATTATGATAAATGAAAGAATAAATACATAACACATGCAACAGTTACTCACACTATCCCCATTTTTATTTTATGGGAACTGAAGCATAGAAAGCTCAATGATTTACTATAATCAAACATAAGATCAGAAGCAGAGTTGAAGTCATACACTCTAAATCGAAGTCCAAGCCTGCCTCTCACATCTCTTTTCCTGCCTCTTAGTGGTGGAGATATTCCTTTTTCTCTCTTAATCTTTCTCTCTCATTCTCATCCTCCTCCTCCCACTCCTCCTCCACCTCCCCCTACCCCTCCTCCTCCTCCCACTCTTCCCTCCTCTTCCTCTCCCTCCTCCTCCCCCTCCTCATTCTCCTCCTCCCTGTCCTCCTCCTCCTTCCCCTCCTCCTCCCCATCCTCATTCTCCTTCTCCTCCTCCTCCTCTCTCTCCTCATTCTCCTCCTCCTCCCCTTCTTCCTCCTCCTCCTCCTCATTCTCCTCCTTTTCCCTGTTCTCCTAGTTAGCCTTCGCATGATTACTAATGGAAGACTAACAGAATCTGATTCAGTTTGTACCTTCATCGTTTCTGCCTGCTGGGTAAAGAGACTATAAAGGGTCCAGGGCGGAAGGAGGAGTGCTAGTGGATGAAAATCCTGTAAAGACCTAATGGTTCCTTAGATTGGGGTGTTCATGATCAATGTATTGAGAAATTAGACTCTGGATATATATCTAAGGTGAGGTCAAAGCAGCTTATTTTGACATTATCAAATACCTCCTAATGACAATAGCAGCAGGAGTTGTGCAGATTAACTATGTGAGCACCACAGCCAGGTAACTGAGTACACATCATAGGGTGAGCAGTTTCTCAATAATAGCTAAATTTGAACATGCATTTGAGTAGAAGTATATCTATGACTACCAGTGAACTAGTCTTTTCCTTGTGCAGACACCATTTTTGAGGATGATATTTAACTGCTATAAAGGTAGCTGTTCGGAAAATGGGACAGAGGTAGGATCATAGACTGGGAATGAGGGTGAGTATCATGTGGCTATAAGGGGAAATAAAAGAAAAGATGACGGTCTATAGACTTGGAACCTCAAAATGTTTAGAGCACCAAAATACTCACAGGAGTTCTAGAGTTTGCAGTGGCAAGAGATCCAAATAGGCAGATTAGTGGTAGAACAGATAAAGGCGTTGATAACTGGTCATTCTTTACAAATCAGAGAAGATGAAGGCTTTGTAGACCAGAGGCTCATACAATTCTGGTTATCTTCCTTGAGAAAATAAATAAAAAATAATAAATATAAAGTGTGGGTCATTTTCTTGCAAATGGCCAATGTAAAATAGTGGCCCAGAAGTTTAAGCTTGATTAACGCCATGATAAATCTACTACCAATTGCAGAATATATGTGAAATACATTTTATTTTTATTCACTCCTAATGTCTTACAAAACATCACCTATAAAAATAGTGAAAATGGAAATTCCTAAAATAAAAAACATGTACATTTTAAAGTATGTATCTCAAATTGTTTCCAAGCTCCCTCTTTATGCCTTTTGTGATCCAAACACTTAAAAAAATTTTTTTTTCTGCAAAAACTATTATGCAGTTTGGGTTACTTATGATTGCTATTATTTTTTATGTGAATTTTTTTTTACAGATCTTCCAAATACTTATTAAAACACAGGACATGTTCAACTCTGGACATCTGTTTAGAAAATGAAATAGGATCTGAAATAGTTCAAAAATTGAAAACGAAGTTAAGAACTTAGTCCTTTAAGAAATGATGAGGAGACCAACATCATCTGATAAAGGAGACTACGAGAGACTACAAATGGGCTGTTTGTACATGGCCATCCCCAAATTGCTGTCTTTCATCTTGTCTATATGAAATCCTGAGATGAGGAAAGCAGTATTTATTTTCAATTAAAACCCCATCTTTTTCTGTAAACTCTTACTGCAACCAGTGTCTGATCTGTATATTTTGTGGCTGAATTGAAGGAACCGAAAATAAATCTTTTTCAAAGTCAATTTTTATTTTTCCCCAAGGATTCCACTTTTCAATTTTTACAGCTCCATTATTTCTGTAAATTCATGTTTTTTATACATCCAAGTCCTTTTCCCTTCTTTTGGACTTTAGCAAGGAATTTATTGAAAGTTTTGATAATTATCAGGGAATAGGTTTAGCATTTCTTTAGTTAAGAAGCTGTTCTAAATTATCCCTAAGGGAAACTGAAACTCTTCCTTGGCCCGGTCACTCCACCCTCCAAGGACAGTATGTCTATGCACTGGAGTAGCCTTCTTTGTTGAAATGCTACCCAAATCCTTCGAGATTCCTTGTATTGGTTTGATGAGCCTTCTGCCCCTTAAGTTCTTAAGTATTTTTACTCCACATTAGACTGAATAAAAGTAAACAGAATAAGCAAAGTGTCCTAAATTAGTTTTGAACCAGTTGGATCAGATAAATCTACCTTGGGTAAACACCTATCACAGTCAATAGAAATCCCCGGGCCTTCCAGTGATCCTGGGGCCTAAATTCCTAGATAGTAATTATGTGCTCCTTTGGCAGAAACTGACTTGTGAAAAGGGCCAATTATCACATTAAAATAGACTCTTAATTATACCAGAGTGTTATATCCAACAGCATGAAAGCTACCTAAATTAACTTTCCTTTCAAATAGAGGTAACTATTGAGAAACATAAGCACAAAAATGCAACTTTTTTTTTTTTTTTTTTAAGAGAAGGAGTCTCACTCTGTCGCCCAGACTGGAGTGCAGTGGTGCGATCTTGGCTCACTGCAAGCTCCGCCTCCTGGGTTCACGCCATTCTCCTGCCTCAGCCTCCCGAGTAGCTGGGACTACAGGTGCCCGCCAACACTCCCGGCTAATTTTTTTGTATTTTTAGTAGAGACGGGGTTTCACCGTAGTCTCGATCTCCTGAGCTTGTGATCTACCCGCCTCGGCCTCCCAAAGTGCTGGGATTACAGGCCTGAGCCACCGCGCCCAGCCAAAAAATGCAACTATTAATTTGAGCAATGGTGGAAGACATTTGCTAGAAATCACCACGTTAGCCAGCACCAAGCTAACAACAAAAGAGGGTAGGGAATTTACTCTCTCTCTGAATCCTGGAAAAGGAAAAGGAAATGGTATTTGGTAAACATGTGTTGACATCTCCATTATGCTAAGGAGGTGTTTCAGTTAGCTTTTGCCATATATTAAACCAATCCCTAATGTAGTGGCTTAAAACAGTCATGAGGTTTATTAGTGCTCAATTCTGTAGGTCATCTTGATTTCCCATGTGGTGTGTGTAAAAGTTAAAGAAAGAGAAAAGAAACATAAAATGTGGTTTAACAGTTAAAAATGGATTTATTTTGGGGAATAAACCTGAGAGGGGCTTCTGGCCGATTTTGGTCAGTAGTGCTATCTCTTACAGACTAAGGCAATTGGTTTCAGGGTGAGAGAGCTTATCATAAGCTTGGAATGTTTCTGTGGGGGGAAGAAGTTTATGGTGGGGTTGGAATGTCTCTGGTTGGATGGTAGGTTAGCTTGGGGCTGACATCATCTCTCCAGCCAGAGGGAAGGTTATCTTGGGACGCATGTCTCTGGTCAAGGAGGGGTTTGGAACGTTTCTGGTTGGAGATGTCATTTACGGTTTATGGTGATGCTGACCTTGGCCATTAGGTTGATGCCCTTTGGATTTAGGAATATTTTGATCAAGATGAACTTTAGAATAATGGTGCTTGTCCAAGATAGTGATGCTCCTGCTCTGTCACTTTGGGCAAGGTTTGTTTATTTATTTATTTATCTATTTATTTTTGACAGACTCTTGCTCTGACGCCCAAGCTGGAGTGCAGTGGCTCATTACAACCTCCGCCTCCTGGGTTCAAGCGATTCTCCTGTCTCAGTCTTCCAAGTAGCTGGGATTACAGGCATGCGTCACCACACCCAACTAATTTTTGTATTTTTAGTAGAGATAGGGTTTTATTATGTTGGCCAGGTTGGTGTTGAACTCCCAGCCTCAGGTGATCTGCCCATCTTGGCCTCCCAAAACGCTGGGATTACAGGCGTGAACCACCGTGCCTGGCCAGTGGGCCTGTTTTGATGGTCTTGCCCTCTCACTTATCTATGGTTAGCTGGCAGCTCATCTGGATGCTGGGTAATATCACATGACCCCACTCTTGTGACTAGCTACTGGCAGGCTGGTGGATCCTCAGGTGGGATAGCTCATCTCAGCTATCTGTGGTCTCTCATTTTCCAGTAAGCTATGCCAGCTTTGTTTACATGGCAATCTCAGATTTTCAAGCACACAGAGAATGAGCCCTGAGGTATTTTCAAATCTCTGCTTGTGTCACATTTTGTAACATGTCATGGGTCAAAGGAAGTAATATGGTCAAGTACACATATACGGAGTGGAGAAATAAACTTCATCTCTTGGTTGAAACAGGTTAAAGTGACTTTGACAAAAGGTGTTCATATAGGGCATGCAACACTTGTGGCTAGTTGCTACTGATGCTCAAATCATGTTGAATCGAAAACCACTGGTGATCACTCTCCTGACTTTCTACCTTTCTCTTTCAATTCTTAAAGCATGTTCTTGATCACAGCAAATTCCATTTAGAAACAAAATTGTTTCCTCACATACTTCTGAATTTTTCTGCAAACTTTTTGAGCTATTGATCAGTGGGGAAAAAAAACCCTATCTGTCTTAATATTTCTACGTTATACTGCTTGTCAAAAGGCATCTTTAAAGACAATAAAAGCAATATTTTATTTTTAACAAAGTGAAAACATCTGATGGTATTTGAGAGTCAGTGACTACATGCCAGAATCGTGTTTCTCTCTTCTTAACGCTATGATTTATGGATCGTGCATATGCTTAAACTTCTCTAAAGAATATCCAGGAACCTACTGCATGATGTCTACATTAATTTTGGTAATAAATCACACATTTCAAACAGTTGGCTAAAGCATACTGGGAAGTTGGATAACATACAGAGTTTCTACAAAATTTTTAAATGCTGGCTGGGGGTTCTTCCCAAAGCGATAGGACTAAATGATGACCTTTTGCAATATCCTCTCTGGAGACTGGCTAAAAATTAGTGACTGAATTCTTTCTAGTTGTCAGTAAGTTTATGTCCATTTTGTTATAATCTTGATCATTACACTGATTCAAATTATCACATTGTTGGGTATGATATCAAAGAAAGAGAGAGGAAAGGGACTAAGAAATAAGAGAGAGAGAGAGAGAGAGAGACGGCATGCCATAGAGTCTGATATTTATCAGTGCAATGGTTTTCTAAAATATATTTCATGGATAATTAGCCTTAAAGATATTTGAAGGATTTATTTTTAAAATACTAATCTTGGGGTGGCAGAAGAAAATAGTTTGGAAGATAATACCTAAGATTTTTCTCCTTTTGGGATATCCACAATATACAACAGAATAATTAAAGGCCTTGAAAAAAAATCTTTACAAACTCACCTATATTTGTTTACTGCCTGTTTTTGAAAGAATATAATAGAGCACTTATCAAATAAACTTGATAAGATCAGCTGGCTCTCTGAAGAACAGGCGCTAGAGTAGGAGGGAAACAGAAAGGGATATTCCTCCCTACCTGCAGGAAACAGTGATGACCATATCAGATGTTCATTCCTTGTGGTACTCTAAAATCCAAACTTGCTCAAGCTTTGTGCAATCAAGAAAGCAGAAATCTAGTGCACAATCACTACTCAGATGGAGCCATTAATTATGTTGAGCTAAAGGAGGAGAATATGAGAGAAAGGAGCAATTAGAAGTTTCAGTCAATTCTGTAGTTTCACCATCAAGTATACTGGTTTACCCTCTTTACTCAGTGTTTTAAAGCATACACAATTGTTTTGAAGCCTGAAGACAGTTCAAGGAGAATTTATATATATATATATATATGTACTTTTTAAATAGTTACTTATTCATACAGCATCATTAGCAACTGGTTAGGAAAGGATGCTTATGGAAAAATAATATTACCTTAATAAAGATACAAAAGGCAGGTAATGTATTCATTTGTCAAAATGATGTGTGAGATTTTGGTATACATGACTCTTACCGTTTTTGCACCAAAGTTTCCTGAATTAGTTTTGTATGATGTAACAATGATTTAAACTGGCTACTAAATATTAAGCCCTAGACATCCTTGACCCTTCTTCATAGCCTTCATCCATCCCACCCTTTAATTTCTTTCTGACCACCACAAATACTCATCTGCAACTTCAGTAACCTAATCAAATCACTACTTCCATTTTATGCCCCTAGAAACTTTCACATTTAAGACTGAGCTTGCCTCTATAACGCACATACATGAGCTATTTATGAGACACCAAGAGAATAAAAGCAAATAATAATAACATCTAATTTTTTCTCTCTTTAGTCATTACAAAATGACTTCTACTTTAGTTGTCTCTTTTAATGCATTAGAAGACAATACAGGCCAACTTAACGGTTTACTAAAAACAAACTAACAAAAAAAAAATTAGAAGCCCATTACCCATGCTTCCTTATTCCTTATTGCTGGTTGAAAACTATAATGAGCTTATGTTCCAGAGCGAACAATGGACACAATGTTAGTGACATTCTTGTATTGTGGTTTAGCATTATTGTAAATCTGGAAAAATTCCTGCCCACAAAAACTTTTAGGTTTTGTTCGGGTTTCAGACACTTATGAAATAGAATGTGCAAAACAACCACATATTATTCTCCTCTATTCTGTAATTACCTTTTTGTGGTACATTCCTTGACTTCTGCTTATGGACTTCGTTCATACATATAAAATCATAGTAGACTGCCTGTGGCCCATTTTCCTTCAAAACCATGAAGGCAGAGATGGTAATTTATCTTTCGTTTGTTTATTTATTATTAAAGGTCACTCAAAAAAGGGAAAAGAACTATTCACAATTATCTCATATATTTGAAAAATGGGCATACTTGGTAGTAGCTAGGAATTAAGTATTTAGGACAGATGATGCCGACCAGAGTTAACCTAATCTCAGGCATTCTATGTTTTTATCCAGTGCAGAGAAACTGTGGTAATGTATTTTAATACTCCTCTGCATTCAAAGTTTTCAAGAATTCTGAACTTATAACCTATATGTAAGCTAGTGCCAGTACTTTTCTGAATCCAGAAAGTTTTATAAGAATATAGATATTCTAAGCAAATTTCTTGATTCAGCAGACGGCAGGAAAAAACAATAGATCTATCACTCCCTCTTCATGTAAATTTAAATGGTCAGATGTTCAGATGTCTTTCTGTTATACTTGCATTCGTATTTAAAGTACTTGCTTATGTCAAAACTTTGCTTATAAGAAAACTGAATGAAATCTTCACAAATAGATGAGTCTGTAATTAATCATAGTCTGATGGACTCAATATGAATATCTGTTCTAAAAGGACCTCATTTAACCATGGATTAAGGGTCTTTGCCCAGTATATAACAATAGATCTGGAGACCATGCTAGCCACCACTCTCCAACCTGATTCCTGATCCAATAGGACCCCGTTTGGAGAGAACAGAGGAAACCCACAGAGATGTTGCTATGTATGATATTGGAGATTACTGAAATCAGAGAACAGTTCCTAATTGTGAGACACCACTAATTCCAAAAGTGTTGAAATAATAGAACATTTCCTCAATTTGGATTTCAAACTATATCTCTCCAACATTATGTTAAAATAATCTCCAAATATTCATTTTCATTGTGTTTAATAATAATCATCCAAAGTTCATACTCAAAATGGAATATATTTTGAACTATATACAGTGTTTTAGGACTAGAGAACATGTTTTTATTTGGCCTTTCAAAATTGCTCATAATCATCTAAAGTATACTGGATAAAGCAGATTTACCTCCATGCTAAAGTATTTTAGTGCTAGCTTCAGTTTGAAGAGTCTTTAGAAATGGAATCTATTACAGAAACTCAGGCAAGGATCTAAGAATATCTCTGCGAATGGTTACGTGTGTAAATAATACTATTTATGCGTATTTTCTCCTTTATTGATACTTTAAATTTCAACTAGCAGTCTTCAGAAAAAAAAAAAAATTAAACACCAGGAGTATAAGCTGTTAAGAATGACATACTAAAAAATGTAGTTTTTAGGGGGGATTTTGACTTCTTGGGCTGCCTATCTATACAATTCATTCTTAAAAATCATATAGAGGATTAAGAAGCTTCAGTGAGAGAAATGGAAACTTGGAGAACTTTACTGAGACATTTGTGCTAAGGATAGTCAGAAAATATCATTTTTCTAAAGGCATAGGATCTTGAGCTGTGATCTTGCCAAGTCTTAGTAGCTGAGTAGGCTCAATTCCTCTCAGTGTTTGAATGTGAGATTTCAGGAGATGACATAAAATATGAAAGAAATGCTGTTTCTGATTTGTAAATATGGTATTACTTTATTCTTATTTCAGGTTTCATCCAGGGCCCGTAGAGAGTAAAATAAACTACTGTGTTAATTTTCTTATTAAAAAAAGTAACTTTATTAGAAATGCCTGGACACGTTTTTGTAATTAGTTTGTGTTTTCTTAAAGTGTCATTCATAAATTGCCATGCATTTATTGTCTCTGGCACACTAAACATATCCCTACCACAGTTTCTTATTCTACATACAAAATAGATTTAGAATAAAGAACTTTGAAATTTTTCAAAAAGGGAAGAGGAGTAAGGTTAAAACTGATGTTTTCGAGTACATAAGGAAAAGCAGTCCTGAATTGAAAGATAGAGATGATATGGAAATTATTTAACAACCTGGTTGTGATAGATGTTTATCATTTGGAGTGCTTACCAACTCTAAATAACAGAGCAGCACCCACAAGTGCATATGTGGTGCACATCAGCACTGGCTTCAAGTCAGGAGCTTACAGTGACTACTAGGTTTTGCTGAAGCAGGAATGCTATAGTCGGTTCTCTTCTTCTATATTTTACTTAAAAAAAAAATGATAATAGTACTCTTGTTATCTCGGTTATCTTGTTATCAACATATGATCAACTACCTTTTATGATAACAGAAAAATAAAGGACAGAAAAGTCATGTCTCCACCCCAAATCTCTATCTATACTAGAAAATGTATTTATCCTCTCATAGGGCTAGTTAATATCAAAAGGATAAATTGTTAAAATAGATATATTAACTATTCTATGAAAAATGCTGTTTTGAAATCACGAAGTATTGACTTACATAGTTGGATAATGTACAAAACAATGTTCATATTACTCTAAAGGAGATACATATATATTTATATAGTCATTTTGGCACAAGGGTGTATCTCGTGCTATGGAAATATATAGCCAACATTTTGAAACTGTTTTCCCAAGAACAGTCTGTCTACCAGGCTTACCACTCTAATTTTCATGATTCTTCATTTATATGCACTCCTAAGGCATCTTTGTGATCACATGCTGTTGGCTGGCTCATGCTACTCTTTATCATTCCCTGTTCTTAAGCAGTTTCTTCTAACCTCATTAGTGCTTTCCAGTGTTCCACATGACTGTCAGAAGGAGCTTTCAAAGATGCAGGGCTAAGCTCACTGCTCATCTCAAAAACCAACAGTGTCTGTTCTCTTTACATCTCTCAAACTTCACTTACTTCCATATTCAAATTTCCTTTTCTCAAGCCACGTGTACTTCCATTTCATTTTTAAAATATTTTATGCTTTTAGAAGCTTCAGGGTTTTTCTTTCTTTTCTTTTCTTTTTTTTTTTTTAATATTTTCTACTTCTGCTGTTGGAAGTTTTTGTTTTTGTTTTTGTTTTTTTTTTCTTGTCCCCGTATCTAGTCCTGTCCCCGTATCTAGGCTGTGAGCTTTTTATCTGTGTTCCCATAACACACTGTGCTTCTGAACTTGACCTTATCCTGGCTCTATTCTCACACACAAAGATATTCATTTGTTTGTATTTCCAGTGGAAATAAAATTTCTTTGTGGTTAGTGCCTGTTCCTGAATTCCCAATGCTTGAAAAAAGGCTTAGCCTAGATTATATGCTCAATAAGTATTTATTGAATAAATATATTAATAAATAAATGACGGCAAAATAAATAATGCTGAAAAGAAGCAAGATAGGAAGTACTATCTTGCTAGAATTTTCCAGACTATAAACAGGTATTCTCCAAAACCCATTACAAAATTAAGATAAAGCTGTTTGCTACTCTTAGGTCTTCATCTCAAGTTGTTTTGTAAGTTTATTTTGACTCCTAGTTTGAAAATACCCTAGCACAAGCAACTCTTTTCAGGCATAAACTTATAAATATATAGAGGAGACAAAAATCTGAACGGTGTAATTTTAGAAACTGTAACAACTTTCTCTGAAATAATATTCCTTTAGACAGACGTAACCATGTCTGAATTTTCATAATTAGATTTATGATTCAGAACTTTAATATTTAAAACCTGAGCATACATTAGAAGCGTTTTTTTTTTTTTTCTTATCTTCAGTGTCTTTCCATTTATGCCAATGAAGTAAAGTATTTTTCTGTGGAATAGGATAGAATTGGGTTCCAAATCCTGACCTATTTATTCATGATCTTGTTATGTTGAACTAGAATCTGAAATTTTCAAATGTTACCTTATCTGTGGAAAGATAATAACAATTCTATGATATGAGAAGGAGTAAAAGACAGTAGATAAACAAATAGCTTCTAGAACAAAACTGCCCATGTTCAAATCTCAAGTACACAGGTTTAGATACTATGAGATCTTAGATGTATTACTTAGCTTATGTCTA